CCATAAAAGATTCTCGTGTATTGTTTGCTGAAAGTGTTAAAGTTTTGCCTCTTCTTATCACATCTGGAATCGCACTGGAGCTTGTGTGTGTGTGTATGTGGTGTAGGGAGGGAGCCAGTCGTTTTCTCCTCTTGGTTCCCCAGTTGTGGCCCCTTCTGCCCTGGTCTGGTCCCCCAGTACCACCTCTGTCAACAGGTTGAGCTTCCAAATCTCCCAGGTCTGCTCTGGGCTATCTTTGATCTCCATGTTCCACTTCTAGCTCTGAGGAATAGTTGAGAACAAATGCAGATGGTTAGTTGCAGAACGTTCCCTGGGATGTTGATAGTACAGAGGAGGGGGAAGCAGTCGAGTGATGCAGACATGGCACATTAGTGCAGTGAAATACACTGGAGCTGACAGAACACGTTTACAGTGGATGTATGTTGACAATATATTGTGGCAAAAAATAGCAAGTTAAAGTCTGGTATGTACAGTATGATTCTATGTTTATAAAAAGTTAAGAAACTTTTTAGATAAAGTTAACTAAGTCGTTATCTAAGTAGAAGTTAGATACCTTTTTAGATAAACCCTCTATCTGTTGCTTCCTCCTGTTCATGTGATACTCAGTGTGATTTGCTCTGACTTTGGCCTTTGTCAGGCCACCACCTCTTCTCTTGGGAGGGCCCTCAGGGACCCCCTGTGGCCACCTTCTCTGGCCTCTTCCCATGTCTCATTTGTGACCGTGTTGCTGTGTTCCACATCACTGCCATGGGCCTTTCAGAACCCTCTCATTTCACCTGGGTTTCTGCTGCTCTTTATCTTCTTCTTCCTGGCCTCCTCTGCTCCTTTCTGTCCCTAAAATGGGTGTCTCTGGGTCCCCGTGTCCCTAGGCCTCTTTGCGTCTCCTCCCTTCTTGAGGGGACCTCAGTGAGGCATCTGCATATACTTTCTCTCACATCACAGACCCACAGGGCCGGGGTGTGAGCTCCCACCAAATGCCCTGATGTCCGAGGCCTGCAGGTTCTGCACTCCCCCACCCCAGAGTTTCTGTCCTGCCTCCTCGTCTTTGACCCCCTGATCAGTTGCCCCATCTTTGTCCCAAAGATCTCTCAAACCTGTGTCTATATCTCTCCCCTCATACTCTTGCCTTATGAGACAAGTTAACACCAGTTTCTGGAGTGTTTTGCCTGCCTCTAAAGTTTCACCCCTGTCCCCTTTCCTCTGGCAAGAGTTATCTTTCTAAAGTGTGTTTCTAAGCCATCACTCCCTGATTTGGGTACCCCATGACCTACATGATGAAGTCCAGATAGTCATCTGGGCATCTACTCCCCCTTTCCTGCCCCAACAGGGGTCTGTCTCCGGCCTGAGGGGCAGCTTGTGGGCCTCTGTGGGACCCTCGCCACTTCTGCCTGCTCTGTCTTCTAAAGACCTGTCACGGGCAGCCTCCCTCTCAGGGCATTGCTCAGTCCCCTGTGCACTGTGTCCCAGAGCACGCCCTTGGGTGCCTGTCCACCTTCCTCTTATCTGAGCTCCTGTCTTTAGAGCTGTCAGAGCCCAGCATAGTGCCTGGCACCTTGCAATGTGGCTGCGCATTTGAGGAAGGGAAGAGTGGGCAGCCTCACCCTGTGACTGGGCTCTTTCAGGCAGAGAATGCTGGGTGGGGGGGTGTATGACCTGGGCTCAAGGGATCCTGTTCTGGACTTTCTCTGCCCCCTGGTTCGGAGCCATTTTTCAGGGGACATTTCTAGAACTGTCTTATTCTTTTTTTAGTGGGGGGGAAGAAGTCTTACTTTGTCTCCCTTGGTAGAGTGCCATGGTGTCACAGCTGACAGCAACCTCAAACTCCTGGGCTTAAGTGATTCTCTTGCCTCAGCCTCCTGAGTAGCTGGGATTATAGGTGCCTGTCACAATGCCCGGCTGTTTTTAGAGATGGGGGTCTTGCTCTTGCTCAGGCTGGTCTTGAACTCATGAGCTCAGGCAGTCCACCCACCTCAGCCTCCCAGAGTGCTAGGATTATAGGTGTGAGCCACTGCACCTGGCCAAGCTGTCTTACTCTTAAGCAGAGATCACTGTGGACTTGTGCTTCTCCATAGCAAGTGGGAGTAGCAGTCTTGGGCCTGTGGGCCAGGCTCGTGTCAGGCCTGTCATTGGGTGGCCATGGCACTTGGGGCCACAGTTAGGCTCAGGCCTGCTGCTTATTGCTGGGCTTCCTCATGGAGTCCAGCATCGGGACTTGTTTCCTGCCTGTGTGTGTTGGCAGGCGAGCATTAGCGTTTCCACTTGCTGCTCTTTGGCTGCTCGGCATTTTCTCAGTGCCCATGTGTGTTGCAGATTTGTCTCTGATCTTGATGAGGGTCGCCTAGATGGCGTGTCTGACTGCTGGCCCTGTGTCGTGCACAGAACCTGCAGCGTGCCTGGGAGCCCTGCATGCCCCTGGCAAGCCGTGCTGCATCTGGATCTCGGTCCTGGTTCTGCTCTGTGGGTAAGGAGGGGCCTTGCCAGCTGAGCAGCGTTTCCTGTGGTTGCCTTTCACAGGCTGCCAAATGCAAAAACATAGCGGATTATTTAGGAGTCTTATTTTCTTGACCACTTTTAGTTCATTGCTTTTGACGCAGTGTTTAAAAATATTCTGCAGCGTATCTGTAGTATCCCTGAACAGCGAATCAGGAGAAGAAATGCAGTTTCTGAGAAAGCTTCAAAGAAGTAATGGTCTTTATCTCTTCCCCAGCCTTTTCCGCTGAAACCCACCAGAGTCTTTTTCTGAGCATTCGGGTTCTATAAATAGAGCAGCAGCTCTCCTTGGGCAGCCCAAGATCACAGTCTCTCATCCGCCTTCTGAAATGTGTGTGTGTGTATGTGGTGTAGTAGGTTGTGTTTTAATTTTGCTTTTTCTTTTATGTATGAGATGGGTAGCAGGAGATGCAAGAAAAAATACTCTAGCATCTGTTCTTTAAAGATAATTTATAACTTTTCTGGGTTTTGGCTTGTTGTTTTTTTTTTTTAAACGATTGAGTAAGAGGCAGAGCGATGACGTCCCCTGCAGAGGTAAGAAGATAAATGGGGGCGAGGAGAGGTGTGTTCTCAGAGTCCTTTGAGGTCCACATAGAAAGGGTCTCTCATGGCGTTTGTCTTAGGCTTTTGTGGATGGCATTGTGTGTATAGATGTATTTGAAATGAGCATCACCTACTTGGACTTGATGTTCACAAACAAACCTGTTACCAGGCCATTCACATTGTAGACTGGTTTATATCCTGGCTGCCTGGATCGTCCTTGTTCCATTCCCACAACCTGGCTCCTAATGCCCTAGTAAGATCCCTACAGTGGATGAAGATGCCGCTGCCTCTGGGGTGGGTAGGGATGGGAGGGAAAGGCTGCTTCTGGCAAACAAGCCCCACCAGAAAATTTGGTCGCTGGATATTGTGTCTTTCTCTTCTTTCTTCCTGCCATTCTTTAATTACAGGAGTGAGAGACAGAGGTGCCCTCTTTCAAAGTTCGAGGTGAAGGTATAGGCCACAGAATGAATAAGTAGATTCTTTAGCAATTTTTCCCTGTGTTGATCCTCTGGAATTGGGAAATGCTGGTGTTTGTACCACTAGGTCAGTGCCAAAAGCAGAGTCCATCCTGTTGGGCATGTGGCTATGGCATGTGCAGCTAGCCCACCTTGCCTGGAAGGGACACAGTGAGGACGCACTGTGGAGGGGCAAGGAGAGGAGACCCCTGGTGCGGTGTGCTGGCCTGCACCGTGCTGCCTGCTTGGGTCCTGTCCTGTCCATGTGTTTGCCGATGGTGTGGGGCTGGGGGCTTTCTGCAGTCTTTGTCTCTGCTTCACTCCCTCCTCTGTCATGAAGTCGCTGATGGGGGTTCCTGATAGTGTGGTGTTCTGCTCTTGCATTCTGGTAGGTTTGAGTGACATGAGGTTTCTGTGTCTTGTTCTTGGCTGGTTTTATCTTAGGTAGTTTTAAGTGGCCACAGATGCCTAAGTACTTCATGCCTGTACTGTTTTAAAACATTACTAAATGTGTAAAGCTATATGGGATTAGGTAATTACGCGAAGGTTTCTGTGAACCAACATGCTTATCCTTGAATAGAATGTTATAGGAGTCAGCTTTCTCTCCATTTCCATGCTGAGATTCCCTGTGGAATGGCCTTTGCCTTTTCTATTAGGTGGGGTGTAAGAAAGTGTGCAGATGCTGAGAGCCAGGCTCTTGTTTTCATGTGCGTTATCAGTTTGTTTTGCCCATGGTAGTGGCTCAGAGTGGTTCGGAGGATCTCATGCCCAAAGAGTTCCTTGAGCATTTGATTTCTGAACGGTGAGGGGCTTACCATCCCCTTAGGAGTCTGGCCTGTGGGGCACAAGGGGAGGGGACTGCTGGGCTGCCTCCGCTCTTAGCTTAGGTCACTGGATATGCACTATGTCCACTTCTGGATTCTCTGAGGAGCACATCTCCTGTCGTGGGTTGGACCCATGAGATCGTGCGGATGAGAAAGGTACATGTGCTGGCCTGTGAGTGGTAGAAGGGGCTGCAGAGGGCATTGGCCTGGAACTGCGCTGAACCCCAGAACCCCAGAGCAACTGACGTGGACAGTTTTGGCAGAAGGATCCTGAGAAATGGCAGGAAGCCAGAGAACATGGAGACTGGGCCAAGAATAGCTGACAAATAGCAAATGTTAAAGTTGGAGAATGCACTGGCATCCCAGCTGTCCTCCCAGCTGCTAGTTAGTGCTGTGGGCCTGCCAGCCTCAGTGTCCCCTTCTGCTTATGTGCTAGGCATGTCCGAGCACACCCTGAGCCTCTGACATCCGTGCTCCGCACAGGCACCCACCCTCCAGAGAGAACTGGTGCACCCTCCCCCTGGCAGCTCACTCGGCCTGCGCATAGGCCAAGGTCTGACCACAGTGTGAGAAATGATTCTCTGTTGAGACCTGAGTGTGCATTGGCAGCAGCAGGGTGCGTTTCTGCTGGAGGAGTGGACAGGTACCTTGCAAATGCAAGTTCATGAGTATGTTTCTGTACTTTCAGACCATCATCAAAGAGGGGATGCTGACCAAACAGAACAATTCATTCCAACGATCAAAAAGGAGATACTTCAAGCTTCGAGGGCGGACGCTGTACTATGCCAAAACTGCGAAGGTAAGGCTGGGGCCAGCACCCTGGAGTGGCCCAGGAGCCGCAGGGGGTGCTTGAGAAGAGCTGCTTTTCTCAGGTCTGTGATTTCCAGCTAGATTTGTAATGTTCTAGGCTGTCAAGTTTTGTCTCAAAATACGTTTTATTTCTTACAAAAATTAATCTTTTATTCATTTACTTTTTTTTTTTTAAAGGAATGAAGGGTCATAGAAATAATTCCAGGCTTTCTTTTAGAACAGTGGTTCTCAACCTGTGGGTCGTTGTATTAAGGGGCCGTGGCATTAGGAAGGTTGAGAACCACTGTTTTAAAAAGATGGAGGCTCAAGGATCACAGGCTTATGAATCTCTTTGTTATGGACTAAAAGTGTTTTGAAATGTATTAAGGTTCTTGGTGTGTGAACAGAAATGTGAAATTCTTTATTCCGAGGCTTTCTAATAGTTGTCCTGCTAGTGTGTGTCCTACTGTAGGTAAGATTTAAAGCTAGAGTCACCAGGCAGATGGTATTGTAGGAGGAGGAGGAACCAGTGAAAGTTACAAGTTACTGCCATGTTTAAATAAATTTTTAATATGGAATCTGAATCATGTACATTTTCAGATACATGCCTAGAAAGTTAACGCATTAAATTTGAAATTGAACAAAGTAGCTTATTGAGAAAGAGTTCTGACTACTTCCCTCCTTTAAAAAAACAAAAAGACAACTCTTCCTTATTATTTTAGTTTTGTTGGGAGAGGAGGAGGAAGTTACTTAAAATTTGAGCCTCTTTTCTTAGTATTTCCTTCAGGATTCTGGATGGAGTCTTCTTAGAATAGAGGGAGTGGCGAGGCAAACAGGAATTTTGGGGGGAATTTTGGAGGATTAGGAAAAAAGGGCAGTGGTGGCAGGTCCCAGGCATTGTTCCCAGCTGTGCTGTGGGGCCTGTCTCTTCAGGACTAGATGACTTTTTCTCTGCTTCCTTGTTTTCTTTCACGGCCAGATCCCTTCTCTTTGGGCTTTTCTTTCTTCCCCTGTAATAATTAATTTTAGCAGGGAGCTTTCCCTCTAAGTGTGCTAGCTGGAAGGACGGAGAATCCTCAGTCCAGACTCTCAGGTGGACCCACTACATAGCTCACATCTAAAAGTGAATGCTGGGCTTGGCTCCCGTAGCACAGAGGTTATGGTGTCAGCCACGTACACTGAGGCTGGCAGGTTTGAACCCAGCCCAGGCCAGCTAAACAACAATGACAACTGCAACAAAAAACAGCTGGGCATTGTGGTGGGTGCCTGTACTCCCAGCCACTTGAGAGGCTGAGGCGAGAGAATCACTTAAGCCCAAGAGTTGGAGGTTGCTGTGAGCTGTGATGCCACAATACTACTGAGGGCGATATAGTGACTCTGTCTAAACAACAACAAAAAAGTGAATGCTGGTATTAATAATAGAGTTTTGATGTTACAAAAAATAAATACAGAAATACAAGCAGTAGATTATTTTTCCCCTCCACTGATGCAATTACTAATGAAGCCCTTAGCTTAAAAAAAAATCCTGACACTATACCTGTGAGCCTGACGCTCTTGGTCAGAAAGAGGCAGGTGGGTGGATTAGTTTGTTTTGGCTTATTGGTTAGATGTTCCAGTTTCAAGGTGCTTGGGTATCTGTGGGTGCTTGGTGAGGGCTGGGGGAGTGGAGGGTGGTGCTGGCCAGTGCTCAGGGACATGCCTGTCCTGGCGTGCCTTAGTCCTTGTGTTGTCTTTCTTTAGTCAATCATATTTGATGAGGTGGATCTGACAGATGCCAGCGTGGCTGAATCCAGCACCAAAAATGTCAACAATAGTTTTACGGTAAGATTCCTGAGTCACACCTTCCTGATTCTTCCCCATGGTTGGCTTTCTTTTTTGATTTGAATAAATACGTGCTAACAGTTCACACTTTTTCATCATTTTCTTTCTTACTGGAATGGTTCCTGGTAAATTTTATATTTGATGTAGAAAATAATACATCATGTTTGGAGAATAACTGAGAATTGGACACACATAAGCACAGAAGAAGACGGGCCAAATGAATTTTTAAAATATGTTATGGTTAACAGTTCTGTGTGTGTATATATATTTTTGTGATTATTCTAGAAGATCTGCAAAATGCAGAAAATGTGTTAAGGAAGTTTAAAAAAATTCATAATGTAGCCAGCTGAAAATGTAGACTATTAATATTTTGTTCATTTCTTTTTTTTTTAAATTTTACATTTAAACTCTTCCCCCCTAAATTTATAAAAGTTACATAGGACTTTCTTTAACCATTTTAAATACATATAATTATGTGACTTTACCACTCAGAGGTGGCCAGCTTCCCATCTCAACTGTTTCTCTTCATTTCTATGATAGCTGTGTCTCTGCCTGTACATCTGGGAGATCAGCCTTTGGGTTTACCCCTGTTTTTTTTCCACTGGACAGTTTATGGTGAACATTCTAACATGTCAGCTAATCTACTGTTTACCATATTATTTAATAGCGTTATAGCATTTTCTTGTTTGATTTTGCAATTTTGGTTTTATGAGATGACTTTTGTTTTGCAGTTTTGGCCGGGGCAGGGCTTGAACCTGCCACCCCTCGTATATGGGGCCGGTGCCCTACTCCTTGAGCCATAGGCGCTGTCCTATGAGATGACTTTAATAGCACTAGAACCTTTAAAAATATTTTTCTTTATGTCTTAGGCTATTTCATCTAGAAAGTATGCCCCCTAATTTTAGAAATTACTCTTTTATAACTCAGTCCAGATGAGTAATTTTCCTTTTACTTAGGATCTGACATTTTGGGTGAGAGTTATTTTCAGGTAATTTGGTTTTGTTTTATTTTATTCATTTATAGACTTAATGTCGATGTTGCTGATATGAATGGGGTTTTCCTTCCTTAATTTAAATTCCTGTTGTTCTGTATCATGTAACTGCTCTTTGTTTACTCCTTTTACTTGGGAGTGTTTGTACTTTTTCTCCATTAATTTTGTTCTTTACTTACTCTCTGAAGACAAATGCTTTTACCATGTAAATGGATTATTCTTTGATTTGTGGTTTTTAGAGATTTTAATGGGAATAGGTGTTGAATTTCGCTGGAGTGCTTTGAACATTAATTTAGACGTTCAATTTAGTTTTGGTTATTTGAACATTTCCTAATAGTAAATCATTCTTGTTCATGTTGAATTTTACTGCCTTATTTTGTATGTAGAATTTTCCCATTAATGTATATGCTTTCTTAGGGGTAGAAAGTAGCCTTTGTTGTGGGTTTTTAAAAAAATTATTTTTTTCTGTCTTTAATTTTTATGGATACATAATAGTTGTACCTTTGTTGTCCCACATCTTTGCTGTGTTTTGACTTCAGAGTTAAGCTAGCTTCATACAATTCATTTATTACATTTCTGGAAATTTACGTGTTCTGCAGCCTTTTACATGACTTTGGGGTTGGTTGTCTCTGGAGTTTGAGAGGACTTTAAAAATTATTTGTAAGGAAGACTTTTCAGGGAGCTAAGCCTCTGGTTGATAACTTTCCTGGAAGGTTTATTTTCTTGCTTTCTGATCATTTAAACTGTTCAGATTCTGAGTCCTTTTCTGTAATTTGCTTTCTCATTCTGTACCTTCCAGTGTGGTAACACATACTATTGTGTACTTTAAACTTAATATTTCTGGTTAGAGTCCCTTTTCATTTCTCATTTTGTTTGTTTAGCTTGTTTTTCTTGTCAGATTTCTTACACTCTAGCATTTTGGGGGTTTTTTGTTGTCTGGGCTAGAGTGAGGTGGTATCATAATTACCCACTGCAACCTCACGACGTCTGGGCTCGAGTGACCCTTCTGCGTCATTCTGCCTTTCATGTTTCTTGTTTTTAAAAAGAACGAGTTCTTGGATTATTATTACTTTTTTTTATTTTTTTGAGACAGAGTCTTACTCGGTTGCCCAGGCAGAGTGCCGTGGCATAAGCCTAGCTCATGGCAACCTCAAACTCTTGGGTTCAAGTGATCCTCCTGCCTCAGCCGCCTGAGTAGCTGGGACTGTAGGTGCCCACTATAACACCTGGGTAATTTTGCTGTTTTCATAGAGATGGGGTCTTGCTCTTGCTCAGGCTGGTCTCGAACTCTTTGAGCTCAAGGGATGCTCCCACTTTGGCCTCCCAGAGTGCTGGGATTACAGGCACGTAATCCTCACTCAGCCCAGTTCTTGGATTATTACTTTGGCTTTTCTGTATTCTAAATAAATTTCTGCATTGTTTGATGCATTTGTTCCTCCCCGCCCCCGCTCCCTGTTTTTCATAACTTCCTGCTTTTAATTTACTGATGTGGCTTATTCTTAGTTTCATTTTTTATCATAGCATATGCAAAGTATATTATGAAAACACAAGGGAGTCTAAATTTAACTTTGAGTGCCTTTCTTTTCACATTCCAAAAATTGTTTTTTCTCCCCCCAAAATGTATTGTAGGTAAGTTAATTGTTGTAATTATTCATGTCATTGAAGAAAATTTAAAAGTATATAAATATAAATAAGGAATTAAAAACCATCCATATTTCTGTTACCCAAAGATACCCAGTAATATGTAGGTTCAGTATCCCTTATTCAAAATGCTTGGGAGCAGACACGTTTTGGAAATAAGATCTTTTTGGATTTTGAAATGTTTGTATTATACTTACCAGTTGAGCATCTGTAATCTGAAAATACAAAATCTGATATGTTCCAGTGACTATTTGCTTTGGGCATCAGGTCAGCATTCAGAAAATTCTAGAGTTTGGAATATTACAGATTTTCGATTTTTGAATTAGGGGTGATCAACCTGTATTTTGATTAATATTCTCATCAAATATTTTTAATAAAATACAGTCTTTAACCTTCTTAACAATGAACTACTCCTATTACAGCATACCTCAAAATCTTCTTTATTAATGTTGCTTCATATTTTATATAATGTGTAAGTTTATTTAATCAGTTTTTATTTTTGAACGTTCCATTGTGTTCCTTTTATATATACTATTATGATGCACACGTGCACACAGTCCTTTGGTTCCTTTCTGATTATTTCTATGATATGAATTCTTAGAATGAAATTCCATTTGAGGTAAAAAAAGAAATGAACTTCTAAAAAGCTTTTGAAAAATAAATGAAGTCCTGACACACACTCACACCATGGGTGAGCTGAGTGAAGGAGCCGGATGCGGGAGGCTGCAGTGTACGGTGCTGTGTGTGTGAAACGTCTAGAACAGGCGAATGTGTAGCTTCAGAAAGGAGAGTGCTGGTCGCCGTAGGCTCTGGGGGAAGGAGGAGGGACTGACTGCTAATTGCTATGGGATTTCTTTTCGGGGTAACAAAATGTTCTAAAATTAGAGACTGGTAATATCTGTATTTGTATAACTACAAATATGCCAAAAATGACTGAATTATATACTTTAAAAAGATGAATTATATTTTAATAAAAAATTATAGAAAAAAAATCTGTGGCACTGTGCTTCCAGGACTTGTATGAATGACTGCGTGAGCTTTGTCAGCCGGGTCTGAGCACGAACCTGGATTTTCTGTTGTCTCAATGGGGAAACTTTGCAGAGTGACAGATAATTAACTTCCAGATGTAGACACTGCCCCAAGTTGGGGAGACCTCTGAAGATCTCTGTGACTGGAACTCTTTGGTGAGGGTCGTCTTGGATGATTCCCACCATTTTAAATTTTCCTAGTGCTATAAATGCTGCCTTTTCACCTGAGGGCATGCTAAAAGGATAAAGCCAGGTTAAAACTAAGGTTCCCCAGAAACACTCCAGACAGAGAGGCTCATCCTGTCAGCAGTCAGTGGTGACGTATGGGACGTGGGGTAAGGAGAGCATTTGAGTCAGCTGACAGGTGCCCGGTGCCCAGCAGTTACACCCCCATAGTCAGTAAGCTCTGAGTATTAGGGCTGCAAGAGATGCAGTATTTTTTTTTTTAAAATTCATTCTTTAGGATCTTTCCCATTTCTCCCTGTGCTATTCACCATCTGAAGGCAGAAACCATCCCTTACCCGCTGTGGTGGGCTGCAGGAGTCTGTGCACGGGTCTGTCTTCAGTTGTCTGTGGCCTCCAGGAAGGCAGGACATTGCTTCCTCATCGCAGAACCGGGATCCCTGATGCAAACAACCAGTTGGTGAAAACTGCTCTGTGATCCCGCAAGACTTAGGACAGTGGCGAGGGGTCTGCTAGTGTTCCTATTAGTCAAGAGCAAAGTGAAGCCGCGCTAAAGCTGAGGATATGGATACGGCTTTCGGGAGCACGACCGAGGGAACAGTGTCCTCTGCGTGCTCGCTTTCCCATGGGCCACCCCCTAGCATGCAGCATGAAGAGAGAAAGGGAATTTGCTAGTTTTTTGTTCTGGTCTCTGCATTAATATGTGAGGTTGTATGTTGTTGATAATTAAATTTATCAGTATTAACCCGTGAAAACAAAGTCTTTGGTACATTATTGTCAAATTTGCCCTTAGAACTTAACACTAGTTTATATGCCCAGTGGGACTTTCTGAAAGTATGTTTCTCTATCCCTTAGAAACATCATGTGTTAAAATTTTTCTTTTTTTTTCCCCCCAAATTAATGAATCTTTTATTGCATTGCTAAAATTACAAAGAGATGTTAAGGACATCATGCGGTATCTTGCTGCAGCTGGACAACTCTTAGGTCTTACTCATCAGCCTGCTGAACTGTTCCTTTTTCAGAGACTTAAGTACCATCCCCAAATTTTCTTATATCCTTGTTTTTAACTGTTGTGGCCTGCTGAATCAAAGCAGCTGAATTTGAAACAAGCTCAATGTCGTTTCCTTCAAGGATTAACTCATCTTTCTGAGCTTGAG